TCTTCTTTTTTGGTCTTCATCTCTGTGCAAGTGCTTTCATTTCTTTGCAATTGGGTGACATTGTCTTTCATTGTGAGTTTGCACTTTGGATATGACCAGGATCGTATCTGATCGGATATGATCAGATATGATCATATTTGATCAGATCTGATCAGATGTGATCATATATGATCATATCTGATCAGACCTGACCATATCTGAGCAGATATGATCAGGTCTGATCAGATCTGATCGGACCAGATATGATCAGATCTGATCAGACCAGATGTGATCCGATCTAATCAGACAAGATTTGATCAGATGAGATCTGATCAGGGCCGATCAGAGCAGATCTTATCAGATGTGAGCAGATCTTACCAGATGTGAGCTGATCAGAGCTGATCAGACTACATCACCTCTGACACCATCAGATGTGATCAGATTACATCAGCTCAGACAAGGAGGAGGTGTTCCTCCCCCCGTCCTCCCCCTGTCTCCTCCTCCTCCTTTCTCCTCGTGCTCCATTATCCTCCCCTCCTTTCTCCTCTTCATTTGTCCTCCTCGTTTCTCGATTGTCCTCCTCGTTTCTCCTTCACCTTGATTCTCGTTATCCTCCTCTCTCCTATTCTTTGAATTTGAATTTTTTATTTTTCCTGTTCTTGTTTTGTTTTTTTATTTTCTTGTGAATGTGAACTTAGAATGCAAATGTATGATCTCGGCGGCACACAAACAAATGTGTCATCTTGCCTTCTTTCTCCTTTCTCGTCCTTACAATTTTCTTTTAATTTTTTTGTCCTTTTGGTGTATATGTAGTAAGTAACTTGGTGTTATAATACGTGTGTTGCAGGCACACGGTGGATGGTAGACTGGTCGTGAATTTCGCAAAGTTGGGCCGTCTTTCGACTTTCATCTCACCGACTTGTACTGTCGCATGCGTACACGGGTAAGTTTTCATACTTTTTCAATCTTCGAGTACCGATTTTCCCTTGCAAAGAAATGACTCATCTACCAGGCTGTTGCTTCTTCCTGTAGGAGTTCATGATATGGTTGAGTTGCCACAAACGTCAGGTGGGTGAGTGCGTATGTGTAATTGYTGGTTCATTCATTAATGACGGTAGACGAAGTACAAGCTGCATTATGACATCGTTCTCAGATCCAGAAATACAGTGAAAGGGAAAGTGATGGTCTGACAGTGTGATGGTTGACATGTTCCGGTTAACAAGAGGTGATTGATGTTTTACCCCAAATAAAACGAACAGGAAACCGCCAAAAAAAACCTAACGAAATTCGAACACCGCAAAATTACGCATATGCCAAATTAACGCTGGAGAATATGTTAAAAAATATTGTATGAAGCAAAAATCATTATTATTGAATCACCAACAGACCGGTTGCTGCCTGTGGTCGGTTTCGGTTGCCACATCCACCTCTTTGTTCTCCGTCGAGTGGGCCCATTTGGCCTCGTTCAACCAGGTCGCAAGTTTCTCAGCATCCGTTGAGACAGGACCAATATATGACGGACGAATGGTGAAATTATAGGATTATATCGTAGTGGTCGGCAGGTGCGCCATTCTCTTTTGCACAACCTTTCGCTTGCACGTCAAAAGACAGCGCACATGCCGACCCGCGATCCTTGCAAAGAGAAGTGGGTCCATTAACGCTCAACTACCAGGTTGCAACTGAGTCACCATCCGCTGAGCCATAACCAATATATGACGGGAGAAAGGTGCAGTAAATAGGATTATATCGTAGTGGTCGGCAGGTGCGCCGTTCTCTTTTGCACAACCTTTCGCTTGCACGTAAAAAGACAGCACACCTGCGGACCAGGGTTCCTTGTAAAGGGAAGTGGACCCATTCACCGTAAAATACCTCTTCGCAAGTAAGTCAGCGTCCGTATGAGACGGGATCAATCAAAGTTGTTCGAAAGGTGCAGTAAATAGGATTATATCGTTGTGGTCGGCAGGTGCGCTGTTCTCTTTTGCACAAGCTTTCGGTTGGACGTCAAAAGACAGCGCACCTGCCGACCCTGGTTCCTTGTAAAGGGAAGTGGACCCATTCGCCGTCAACTACCTCTTCGCAGGTGAGTCAAAATTCGTTGAGACGGGACCTAGCGATGACGGGCGAAAGGTGCAGTAAATAGGATTGCATCGTTGTGGTCGGCAGGTGCGCCGTTCTATTGTGCACAACCTTCCCCTTGCACGTCAGAAGACAGCGCACCTGCCGACCCGGGTTCCTTACAAAGGGAAGTGGGTCAATTTGCCCTCAACTACCAGGTCGCAAGTGAGTCAGCATCCGTTGAAACAGGAGCAACCGATGACGGCCGAAAGGTGCAGTACATAGGATTCTATCGTTGTGAGCGGCAGGTGCGCTGCTCTCTTTTGCACAACCTTTCGCCCATTTAACCTTAACTACGACATCCGACGCAAGCCTTTGATCTATGTGTGCGTTCCCTTGTCGATGTGTCGCATGTGTTAAGGTTATTGTGAGTCTCTGGACCCGATGAGTGAGTACTTATTTGTTCATCTGGAGGTCACCTCCTTCTATCATTTTGTAGAGATGATTTAACACTGTGCAAGAAGTAATAATTGCTTATTTATTTTTGTTATGACGATCTCACAGAATGACAATCCTACGAAGTTTCTTTCATAGTCGATGACCACAACGATGACGGTTAACATGTGATGCTGACGTAAGATCGGAGGAGCGGGACGTAGGTGTTCAAGGATACTCATTTTCGAGGTGCCACATTTGTTATGAATACGTCAGAGATGATGGATAGAAACGCACATTTAGGAAGTGCAGATGGGCATAACATATCGAGCGACAAAGCAACCGCCCAACACGCAGCGAGCACAAGGGTAGATCCTGGTGTCCTCCCCCCTGTCCCACGGGCGAAAGTATTGGAGGCAATGGCCGGAGGAGAGGCTTACATCGAGAAGTGGTATGCGGAGGGGCTATTGTTGTCTGCTCTCTTGAATGAATCGAAAGATGATGTACGGAAATTGGAGCATGAAGTTGTCGAAAAAACTAAACAACTTATGAAATGTAATTTAGAGATACAACGATTGAGAGAGGAGGAGAGCGCATCACACAAGAGAATAGAAATTCTAGAGGCGCGCCTTGCGGATGTAACGTTTCGACTGAAGGAAGTTGAATCACATTACACGTCAGAGCCACGAAACAGGAGGGCCCACAAACGCCAACACAACACATGTATGGAGACAAGGGTCGAAGATGGAGACGATTTGTGGGATGTCCAACCTTGTGTGCATACACACAAGTGCGTTCTTGTGCAAGGTTGGGCCGGACATACAAGCCAAACACAAGTTTCGATTGACAAGGTTACGGGGGATGTACAAAATTTGCACGAGCTTTTGTACTTCACGGAGGATTGTCGGCGACATTGTTCGGAGACTATACATCATCAATACGAAAATGATACTGATCATCGTTCATCGTTGAGTGGTCGACATATGAGCATGGAAAACATTCGTTCTCTGTTGTCGAGCTGCATAGATATTATGGATTCCACTTCGTATTTTCGCAGTAGGATTGAATGTGGGGATTTCAAGTTGCATGATAAGCCGGAGACTTCAACAAATCACGAATGCAGACAAAAAGAAAACGCGAAAGGTCATGATCGAAACTCATATGTGTTGCATAGAGGAGTACATACGGATGTGGATACACGGTCCATATCCCCTGCGCACGCAATCTTCACATGCGAAGATTTCACACGCTTGACTTCATTACAAGAGCGCCATAATTTTTCATGCATTATGGCTCGAAAAGCACCTTCTTTCGACACGCCAAACACCACGGTACTGATGACAACAGATATTTTCGCAGCACATGTCGCCGCTGCAAATATGCGGGATGTCAAAAGACTTGTCATCGATATAATGTCTCACATGATATCTTTGATGAGAGAAGCAACCACAGTTGTCAGTGCTCGAGCCCAGAGGACGAGAGTGACGAACAACTGCTGTCATTGTGAAAGTCTTGAACTGGCCCGAGAACAGTTAGGAAACATGTATAGAAAATGTCAGATTGTATGTCAACGACTTTTGAAAGAGTCTAGTATCTAAATCCTATTTGTTTGTTTGAAAATGTGTTTTACCGTCGAGGAGGTGCATACATCTGTGTTTGACAATATGTGTGTATGTGAGCATTCTACAATCTCATGTAAGTTGCGATTGTGGATCGTGTAGATGACATCTCTTCCACAGATGGATTCCGGAGGTGGAGAAACAACGTATGTTGCTACCGAAGATCTTGTTCGTGGCATGACAGACATTGGGGAAGGAGAGACAAAAAGAGGGAAGTGTGAAACACACAACGAAGAGGTGTTTCATGCTCACAACAAGGAGGATGACGATATAGATGGAGGTCGGCGTGGTCATGGCAAAAAATCAACGAGGGAGGATCATGTTAATAATGGAGGGGAATGCAAGTGTCATGTCGACGACAAATGTGTGACATTGACTGAGGATGGTCAGTTTTTTGCGTACGCTGTGAGGTGGGAACCTAATGTTGTCCAACCGGGATTGTTTCGCGGGAAGCATTGCTTTGCTGTGAATTGCAATGACACATGGATCCCTGTGGAGGCACCACATCCTTAGGTATGGGATCATTTCACTCTGGTAATTATAGAGGAACGAGTGTCAAGGCTGAATCCATCTGTTCCCAGAGATGCCCTCACACTTCATTCCTTCACCATCCACGAACTTTTGAAGGACATAAAATAACTACGATTGAATGACTTTTTGTACGACAACATGGAGTATCCAGTTCCGTGGGTTGTCAGTGGTGGAGATATGAGACCAGAGACTTGTTCTCACGATGATCCCAGGAGAGACCCTCGTTAGGGGTGGGTGCCGCTCATGATCCCTGCAACAACTGGTGTTGTGTGAGTGAGGCGGCAAGACATGATGGAGAACTGGTGGCTTGTCCAGTATGTGAATGAAAAATTCACTCTTCGGACTTTTGACTGTGAGAGGGGGGTGGAAAATAGGAATAGCGTGGATACTAACGTTCCTCTCAACAATCCTGTTGCACTCGAGTTTTCAGATGGCCATACGTTTTATGGGGAGGTGAATGTGTGTCTCACAGACAAGCAGGGCACGATGGAAAGGTGCACTGATGTGTGGGAGGATATATGGATTCCATATATCCACAAAGAAGAAAACATATGTCGGTATGGTATGACTCACACATTGGTGACGACACCTGATTCAGCGATGTGTGCAGCCTCAAACCAGGTGGGGTATCTTGTGAATTGGATTGGCAATGTGTTGCAGTCGGGATATTGGCAAGGGAAGTTGTCGATGGCAGCAAAAGCTCCTTCAGGCCACTGGCTGCCTTTGGGGTTCATGAAGAAGGGACTTGTATCTCATTGGCAATTCATGGTTATGCTTGTCAGGGTATCGTTGTGCAATCCTGACATACTGAATAAGAAGGTATTGCACGATCATGCACAACAGATATGGCGGTCTATCGACGAGGATGACAGACAGATGATCGTTTGTGGATATGATTCCACAGCAAAGAGAGGAATGTGGCTTGTCGGCGCGGGTGATGATGGTGAGAATGACAGTGACAAGGATGTCACATTTCGATTTTTGGATGATCTGCATGAGCGTTTCCATTCTTTAGCTCTTCTGGGATGGGTGCCGGTCATTTGGAAAGAGGAACATATGGATAACAGTCCTGTGCATGTTACTTTTAAGGATCCATTGGGAGTTCTTTTCGACCTGGTTTATGAAGGGGGTTTATTGCGTCATTGCATGTTGAGTGGAGGCGAGGCAAGAGACCATGCAGTTTCTGCAGAGCAAGAGGACGCAGAGCAGGAAGTTGGTGGTGGGTCAGAGTATGAGGACGACACACCAGGTGTGCCAGAGAGAGAGAGAGAGAGAGATGACGATCCGTTGATGAGCGAGCAGTCTCCACTCGAGGCAATTCGACAGTTGAAGAAGAAAGAACATGCAAGGAATGGTAATGTCAGCGAGAAGGCTGCTGAGGTCAACCATGCAGGGGAACAGAGGGCGAAGAGGAAAAAGAGTGCAGGTGAGAACGTGTCAAAGAGGAAAGAGAGGAAAGAGAAAGGAAACGTTGATGCAGGGACTGCAAGGCGTTGGAAGTTCAGACCAGGGACAGTTGCACTTCGAGATATTCGCAAAATGCAGAAGTCAACTTAAAGACTGATTCCTTTTGCTCCATTCACATGGTTCGTCAGAGAAATACTGCAAGATGACAAATGGAGGACAGGATGGGGAGAAGAAACTAGTCATCTGCCAGGGCCAACAAGAATGTCACTTCTTGCTCTCAAGGCGTTGCAAGAAGAAGTCGAGGTCTACGTCGTGCACGTGTTGAATATGACAAACCAAGTTGCTATCCATTTGAAGAGAGTGACTATCATGAAGAGGGATATGCAGCTGATGATTGAATTAAAGAAGGGGATATGTGACTACAGCACAGGCAAGATCCCGCGTCAGAGAGAAAAGAAGGATGATCCACTGCAGCAGAAAACAGAGGGTCCTGGACGAAACCAGATAGACAGCACGCAGATGGCCAAAGAGGACCCACCGAGGAAGAAAAATGTCCCAACATCGAAAAAAAAGGACCTCCAGCAACGGAGAAAGGACTCATCAGCCACCACAGGTCCTTCAAATGCGCCGGAGACGCCGCAGTTGCAGCCACGACAAACAAGAAAAAAAAAAAGTTGTGGCTTCTAAAGCTGGAAATAGAAAAAAAACGAAGAACTGAACATTCTGATGCGGGGACAGTAGCCATAGTGATGGGGACATTGTGACAGACACTGACATGCAGACTAGCAGACAGACAAACAGACCAAGAGTTTGCAGTGTGTTTATTTCCGTGTGTCATACTGTCCTGCAGGATCCATCAGAATGATCTACAACCAATCAAGCCCTGCGGTTGCAGGCTCAGGCTACCAGGAAGTTTAGAGGCCCGTGGGGGCTCACAGTGGGTACAGCCCGTAGCTTGGTAAAGTGAGACCAGCGGCCCTGATAGAAAATGTTTCCAGCATTTCTACAGTGCGGGAGGAGAGAGAGAGAGAGAGAGAGAGAGAGAGAGAGAGAGAGAGAGAGAGAGAGAGAGAGAGAGAGAG